AAAACTGATTGAATTCTTGCAAATCTAATTCCATGTCATAGAACTTAAACATTTCGGACACATCTTCATACTCCTAAACTGCTTCCGGTACAGGAAAAAATCAATCAAAAAAATCTATCAAAAAACGACAGACAACCAGAAAACACAAAACAATAACGTCCATTCCCTTTAAGTAAATAAATTCTTTGGCTACAGTTCTTAACCAACAAGCTCTTATGGTGAGATATTCAAGAACGACTCGAGTAACAGCAATATAAGAAGCTGAATAATACCATTTACGACATTAACTAGAAAACGTTTCAACATGTCCATAAATTATTGAGAAGGAGAAGAATGAGTAAGAAAAAAAAGTCAGTACAAATGACCATTTGAGCAATAAATTACTGCATACAAATTTTACGAGATTGTTGCTCTTATTCTGAGCATTATTACAGCTATTTTTCGGAGAAGATTAAGGTGCTGGAATGAGCCTGTTATTGGATTTTGATGGAAATTGTTGAGTTATAGTGTGATAAAGTTTTGGGGGTTATGGAGCTTGTTACTAGATGATAGTTTGGTAAATTAGGTGCTCAAACTATTGAAGAGTCAAGTTTAAAAATTGAAGGACTCAAATAGTCCGCATAAAAAAATTTGCAAAAGAAAATCTAAATCGATAATTTTTAATAATTTTCCACAAAATGCTAAATGTGTCATTTTAAATTGATTTCAATACAATATTCGAAAAAGCAAGTCAGCAAGGCAGCAAACGAACAAAAAATAAATAAATAAAACACAAAATGTGTTATAGAGGAGTCTGGCAGTGCTTTTCACAAAAAAAGAATTTTCTCTCTACAACATCACGAATGAGGACAACGTTGCTTATAGCTGAATTTCGTGTATCCTTCGTAAAACGTCTGCCACTCGTCGGCATTTACGAAAATTTACTTCGTGAAAATTGTGAGAATAAAACTGTCTCGCTCTTGACTTTGTTACCTGTAATCAACTAGTTGCGCCTTGGCGGGTTTTAATGTTTTTCCTCCCTCCTTAGACATAAGTTATAAGTTCGCCTCATTTACTTTTTTCCTCTCCAAAAAAAGAAAACGATTTTCCTTCTCGCTCATACACAATGTTGCGTTTTTCTGTATTGCTACACGCCAGACTCGACATGATGCAATGAAATATTTTTCTCTTCTTTATTTTCCTGTTGTTGTTGCTGAAGTCAGAAGATTGTATCATCATTGATAGTAGCAATATTGTAATTTTTCTTTCTTAGGGTATTTTTTGATGATTGTTCGTCACCACAAAGACGTGTTTCATTAAATTTAATTTTTTGTTTGTTTTTTGCAATGTTAATTAGGGTAAAAAATAAGCTGTGTGCTTTGAGAGTTGCAATTGTGTTGATGTTGCGGAATGGTTTTTATGGGAACTTGATGGAAATTTGATTAGAATTTTATTTTTTGTAAAGTTTTTAAGAGTTTTGAATTTTAAAAATTGAAGATTTAATTTGATTTGATAAGAAATCAATTTTTTATCAGGAAATTTAAGCGTTCGAAGCTGATGCAATTATTTGAGGACTGCACGAAATAGAAATAGTTCGAAGACAGACTGAATCTAGTTGAAAAAAAAACCTCAACCTGTAAAGAATTTCGTTTTTTTTTTGTTTAAAAAATTCTCACAAAACTGTCAAAAAATCTCAATAATTTGATCAAAAATAATCAGTTCCTTTTCAAAAACGCTCAATTCCTTTCAAAAACATTCAATTCTTGTCCGAAACTTTCAAATTTTCAATAAAACATTCAAACTAAATTCATAAAACTTTAATATTAATCATAACTTGTATGGAAATGACTCTACGATAGTGTTGAAGTACCTTTTTTACAGTCAAATCAATAAGTGATGCTACATATGCAAGTATATATAAATGCTTAATGATTTTAGTATTAGAACATGTTCTAAATATTATAATATTTTTATATTCAGACATATCATTGACCGAGAAATGGGAAAGTGGGGAATAAGAAGAAGAAGTCTTTTGAGAGGGGAAAAAAATTTCCATTTAGAATGATTCATGATTCTTTAACATTTATCATTGACGGTGAAAATGTTTCATTTGACATGGGAATTAAAAAATATCTTAGAAAAATGAGAAAGATAAGACATTAAGTCCTTTGAAAAATTTTTCACTTTACCAAATCATTAAGAGAAAAATGACTTTTAAATCCTGTAAAATTATTATAAATTTATCTTACTTTGCCTGCAAGAATTCATAAAGTGCGCATGGCATAGGCGAAAAAAAAGTGGGAAATTGTTGCCCTGTTGCTTTTCATTTATTTGTATGAGTGTAAAACGAGCAACAAGCGATGTTAAGAATTTTTTTTTTCTTCTCTACCATCATTTGAGGTAACCGGATTTTTTTTTTTCATTTCTAAAGAACCTTTCGCTCTTTTTTATGGCCATGTATATGTTGTGACTTTTTTTTCAAGGGTCTAGAAGCATTTTTTTATATAACCAAAGAAAGATTCTTCTGCAGCACACGAAAGAAAAAAGCTGTAGAGCTGAAAAAAGAGAGAATTTCTCTCGGAAAAAAGAAGAAAATAAAATTATTATTTTCAACACTGTTGCTTCTCTTTCTCTCTCTATCTCCCATTGTTCCTTCTCTTTTTTTTTGGGGCATCATCATCATTTTAGTATCATCATCGTTCTATAACATGCTATGCTTCTCTTTGTATATGTACACATTATAACTCTGTACATGTTTTACATTACATACAATTTTTTTTTTCACTTTATTGTTATTACCTCTCGACGTCGAAAATGTGGAAAAAGTAGAAACCAGTCAATTTTTTTCTTCAGTTTCAGTCTTTATACAGTCTTCATCGCTTCAACCCGTTCCAAAATATATACAATCATTCTCTATCTGCCGCTCTAGTGTTATATCACACAAATATATATATCATTGCAATTAATTCAGAATAAATAAAGTGAAATAAAATAATTAAAAAAAAAATTAGCTGAAAAAAAGTTTATTTCATTTGAACTTTCGTGTTGGATTTAATTTTTTTGTTCGGCATAAAAAAGAATTAAGAACAATAGAAGAGCTTAAAAAAAATTAGTGTGTTTGCTTTTTTCTTAAATTTGCTGCTACCTGAAGAAAAGCATTTTAAGCACTTGATTCATCAGATTGAGTGAGAAAGTGACTGAAATTGAATTGAGAAATTTTCCATTCTTCCTTTTTCCTCATAAAAAAAAGTATATCCAATCCTAAAACTAGGTGCAATTATTATTTTCTAAAAGTGTGACGCAAAAATTTTTTGAGATTATTTCAAAGTTATTTTCATAATTTTTTTTATTGAGATTGACTTTTGACTTTTATTTTTGTTTTGTGAGATTTTCAAGGATTATAAATAAAATTGAGCTTATTTGAAAATCTGAAATAAATAAATATATTTAAAGAATACTCCGTCATATACCAAAGAAAAAACATTCATAACTTAATTGAGGGTAACTTTGTCAATTTTTATAATAAAATTTACAGTAAAAACTTTTTCATTTTTTTGTCAAAAGAAATTGAAGTGATTTTTTAGTATCACAAAAAAAGCGAAGTTTCTTGTGATGTATGTGCAAAAAATATATTTTTAAAAAGAATTAAAACTTATACATACATACATATCATTTTTAAAAATTGAACAATTCTCGAACAAAAAATAAAAATAAATTATAGTGAAATTTAATTTTCCCATAAATTCAAAAGTGTTCTGACAAAAAAAAAAATTTTTTTTGACTATCATAAGAAGTGACAAATTAAAATAAGTCATTCATTTTAGAAATCATTAAAACGTGAAAAATTTTAAGAAAAGAAATCATATATTAAGAGTAGAAACCGCAAAAGCCTGCAAAAAAAATTTTTATTACGTTATATGAGTAAAGAATAAAGCTGTGTAAGAAAGAAAGAAAAATAAGAAAAGAAGAAGAAGTAAAGAAGGAGAAATATATAAGAAAGAGTTAATGAAGAAAGAAGCTTCAAGAAGTTGAATATAAAATATAAAAAACAAGAAATACAGAAAGTGGAAACGAAGCAAATATCGAAAGAAGTCGAAGTTTTCAATAAAAAGAAGAAAGAATATTCTTGGAGGAATTTTAAAAAAGAAAAGAAATCAAGAGAGAAAAACAATACAGAGGTTGTTTACATTTTTTAAAACGTGTACAAGGTCAACGGCCAAGGAAGTATTTTTTAGTAATAATAGTAATAAAGTTTAATACTGAAGAAGAAAGCGCGATTCGATAATCAAATATTATAGGTATTATAAGAATTATCATACATTATATAGCTCAATATACTATTTTCAAATTCGAATGAATTGAAAATAATATAAATGATTAGAAATTAAGGAGAAAAAATATCCAAAAAATCAGTGGAAATAAAAAAACAATCAAGAAGCGTCTTGACAATCAAATAAAGTAGTTGCTAAGGAAATTTCATTTCTTGTGAATTATTGGACAATCTTTGACAATCCAATTTTAAATCACAATATTTCTATTGCTATACTAAAAAATATAAACTTTTCAAATTAAATCACATTTAATAAAATTTACATAGGCGATAAGTCAATCATTCTACCTTGAACAATCATTAAAATTTACTCTCAAAAAATAATTCTATATTCTACAAAGAAAAAAAAATCAAATTTAATTAATAAGCTAGAAAATTAACCTTTTTAAGGCAATCAATTTTAAGCCTCAGATCTATATGTTTCATACAAAAATCATCTAATCAAGAAATTCATTGTAAAAGATATTTTTTTTTTCATACATAATCTTTTAAACACAACAAAAGAGTAAAAAGTTCTTTCAAAATTTTTTAATTAAATTTATTCAGATAAAAGAAATTGGGAATTAATAATCGATATAAGAAAATTTTTTGTGCTCAAGTAAGCCTGTTCAATTGTAAAGAAAACTGAATAAAAACTCATAAAATAAAGCTTGATTGAGAAAGAAGCTTGGCTTTTTTTGCAAAAGAAAAGAAAAAAAAACCTGTTGCTGTTTAATTTTATCGCATTCTTTTCTTCTTTCTTGAGCAATTATCTCATGAGATTCTCATGAATAAAGAAAGAAGAAAATAAGAAATATTAAAGAATACGAGACACTTACTCATACAACAAGCGAGAGAGGAACTTACATAAATAATTTCCATCTTTAAAAGAAATATTCGAATAAGCTAGACAATATATAATTTTTTTGGGGAAGAAATAAGAAGAAAAATACTATTAGATGATAAAAAACCAGAAAAACGTGATATCGACATCTTAATAGATAGTAGAACTAAAATAACACTCACACATATAAGAATAATTCAAAGTAGCTCTCGATCATTTTACTTTTATTTCGGGTATTAGACAAAGTTCTAGCGCTACTTAAAGCACAAGTCAATCTCGAGAAAAGAAAAAAATAATAAATTTGTCAATATTTCTTGCCTTAAGCAAAGAATTAAAAGATTTTAAAGAGTAAATTCGTGATAAATCACACAAAATAAACCGGCATCAAGACGTATTTCCCTACGCCAAGTTCCAACTTATATTTACCCTCCTTTATATCACCTCCTGACGTTTACAATCCTTTACTCAATACCACATCTCAATCATATCAATATCAACCCGTTTATTACAACTCTATCAATATAATCACTCAATCATTAGCTAACGCAAATCATAATAGTGTTGTTATTGATAATAATCAAACAAGTGTAAGAATTAGTAATAATAACAACAATAATAATTTTTGTGGCTATTGCATACCGTCACAAAATTCACAAGATCATCAGCATCAAGACCTGTTACCATCAATTGTGGGAAATCATTTTCAAGAAATCATTACAAGTGATTGTTTGAAGCATCAGAATTTTATTAATAACAATAATATAAGTGAATTATCAACCATAAGTAGCAGCGGAGACATTTTTCAAAAGGAAATCATGGTGAGCTAATTTCACAGATATATTCAATCTGTTTTTCTCTGTATTTTTTTATTTCGGGCAGGGCATTGAAGATATATATTTTTGAAATATCTATTAACTAGAAAAACCTTAAGTCTTGAAAATTGTTTATTCAATTTTTTTTTTCTTAATTTTAATTCTTTTTTTTTTTGGCTAATTGTTTACACTATTTGAAAGAGAAAAAAAAATCATCATCTGTTTTACACGATACTATGTGTGTCTTCCTACGTATTCATTCTTTTTTAAATACAAAATGAATATATTAAAATTCTTAGTACGTTAGGAAAATTTCTATAAAAAGATGTAAGCTGTATAGATTTCTTTTTATTATAAATCTTGTTTTTCCTGCATTACAAATGTATTGATCGTACAAATGTTTCGAGCTAGTAAAATAATCTCTTACAGCTAGCTTTATGATATATAAATGGAAGAGTAAAAAAAAGTAATAATTAGAACGGAAATAGCAAATTAGATTTTTTTTCATATTCTTCGCAATTTTTGACCGGGATATTACAGTGCGAGTTTAATTTCCTTTTTTATGACGTAACTAAATTGAGGGTGGATGAGAGAAAAAAATTGTTAATTTGAAATGATGATGCAAGACTTTGAAGTAAGGACTGTAAAACTATTAAAATAAAATTATTTCATATTTACACCAAATTTTCAAAATGTGTGGATATAATAATGTAATTTAAGATTCAGGAATGTGCACAGAAATTTTTTGAGGGGGGTTTTGAGATTTTTTTCTCCCAAAAACCCTAGAAAATTGAAGAAATTATTTTCAAAAAGGTGGTTTTGACCCTTAAAACCCTTTCTGGCTTTACTTCTGACTAGGTTTTCTTGTGACTTACTCAATAATGACTCAAACTCTTGAAAAGTATAAAAAGAAATCAAATCTTCCATCTAGTTTGAGGATTCAAAATTAATGAATCAAATTTTGATCATTTAAGATAACCTCTAAAAATGGCTGAAATGTTTTTAATAATTTTTGATAATTTTAATCGTTTTTAATTATTTTGAATCATTTTGATCAGTTCCAAACCTTTGATCTAATTGCCAGGAATAATTTTCAAACATTCAATCACAAAAATCAGCTTTAAAATCTTCAAAAGCTTAAAAATTGTTATAATCACGTTCCAAAAATGATAAATCGCAAAATTTTCCACACCAAATCGTCCCCAAATATCTTCCTGTAACAAATAAAAGTTACTCAAGCATAGCAATTCAGATTAACTTTAAAGTAAACCAGAAAAATTCTCTAAAGGACAATTTTTCGTTCCATTTAAAATTATGCTTTCAAGTCTATCAAGAACTATGCATAATACACCTTTTCCCATAAGGGAGACACATGAGGAAATTTACGTTATTAATATATCACAAGAAAAGGGATATTTTACTTGTTTGTTTATTTATAGAAGGCTATAGCTACCTGTATAGCTTCTGAAGTAATAAGAAAAATCTCTCGTTCTCTCCTCCCAATCAACTACGTGACAGAAAGCAACCGTTAAAGCAACAAAAAAGGAAGAATCTCCAACATTTTATAACCCACAAAAAAATAAATAGAAAAGTATACATACATCTTTATACTCCTTTATATCTTTCTCACTCGACCATCATAGATGGATAGACTAAAGAAAATTATATCTCTTTTTTCTATGCCTTTTTACAAAATTGAAAATTCTTTGCCATTATCTTTATTACTGTATGATATCAAAATGTTACTCTTTACCTTACGATAGGAAATGAAAATTATTTAATTTTGAAGATGTTTTACATACTTTGTTGTGTAGTTTCTTTAGATTGAAGATATGGCGAAGTTTTCTGGATGGAATTTGTACCTTTAATCTTTAATTTTAAGGTTTATTGTTGTTGAGTTTTGCAAAGTTTGAACTTTTGATTTTATTTTATTTACAATTAAATAAACTTTGATAAATGTTTTTAAAGTAAAATCTTAAGTTTCAATTGTTTGAATCATTAGAAAGCTTTTGCATTGCAAATTTACTTATGCCAAAAGTGAGGAACTCAAACTTTTAATAATTGTTGATCAACTTTTGTTAAATTTTGATCAAATTTGTTCACTTTTGATAAAAGTTTTATTAATTTTTGCTCAGTTTAGTTCATTTTTGTTCAGTTCAGTTCATTTTTGTTGAATTCAGTTCAATTTTGTTTTTGTTCAGTTTAGTTTAATTTTTTGTTCAGTTTTGTTCCTTTTTGATAATTTTTGTTCAGTTTAGTTCATTTTTGTTCATTGTTAATCATAGTTTATCTTTTTCGACCAAGTTAAACAAATTTTGTTCATTGTTGTTCGTTCTTCTTCATTTCGATCAGTTTTGATCAGTTCAAAACCCTTAATTTTAGATTATTAAGAAATCTTTTGTTAATTTGAGCAGATCAATCAAAAAACCATCAAAATATTGATTTAATTATCCAATTAAGTAGCAAAAGAATAAATTAAATCATAAAATAGCGAAGTTATGAACAGAAACTGTCCTAGTATTTTTACAAAAATAAATTTCAGTCAGAAAAGAATTTCAACATTTTTGCTCAAACAGATGCCAGATTCCTTCAATTATCCAGCCCACACATATACTAAAGCTTCACTACACTCTATTACTTTTATGATTCATTAGCAAAACTTTCATATTTATAACATGACGCATCATAACATTGTAAAAGTTAAAGAGAATGTCCTTTTATGCTACAACAGTGAGCCTTCCTAAAAGCTTTTATAAATATATATAGATAGATAGAAAATAAAGTAAAAAGAAGAAGAAGTGAAGTGAAAAATTTATCTTGCCTGACTGAATAAAAAAAAATTTCCTCACCACAATCTTACAAGTCTGTAATGTGGGTTAGAAATGTTTTTTTATTTACAATTTATTTCTCAATTTTTTTTATTTTGGTAGATCATGCCTATTTTTCTTTTTTTTTTGAAGGTCTATGAGGTACATTTTTTATATTTTTAACAAGAAAGGTTTTCTACTTCCTTACACCACAAAACCTCGAATTTATTCAGTAATGTTCTAAAGAAATGAAAATTTACATGCCACAGAAATACAAAGAATTAATTCAAATTGCCGCAAGCAAAAACATGCATATAAATGTAACTCTCATACGCACATAATGGTTTATGAAATAACAATATATCTAATCTCTGAGTTATAGATGCTATGCCTGCCTTCGTCCTTTTCTTTTCGACAAATTTTCCTCTTTTTCTAAAATAAATTATGGAATGAGAAAAACAAAATTTTTTATTGTAAGGTAACTTTTTACCTATATCTCTATTCATTCATTTCATTCATCTACTATAAAGTAAAATGTTTAATGTATCGTACGCTCCCATGCTCTGTCTCTATTGTGTTGAGGAGAAAACCATTAGACTTAAACAACAGTATAAAGCCCAAAGGCAATTTATTGTTTAGAAAATGTAGAAAATGTAAACATATTTAAACAAACTAATTGAATTTTGAAAATGGAAGAACTTTTTCATTCCTTACTTGCCAAAATATAATTATTTTACTGTGAGATGAGAACAGATTTTTTTACTATAACTTTGAAATTTAAGTACATGTATGATGATGATGGATATAAGTCACCGTAAGCTCATAAAACTTTATATATATATATTTTTTTTGCATGAATGTAACGAAAAAAGGGGGTAGAAAATATAATTGAAATATAACTGTCCACAAACATATAAATTTATAACGTTCATATCTCTCTTCTCATTCATATTATGTTGACGATGATGATACGATACTTATGTAAATAAAGTATAAACTATGGGTTTTTCACATACAATGTAAAGTTTCTCATCCAACCTAACCATGATGTGAGTGAGAGAGAGATATGAATTCCTTTTTTTTATTCATTTGAATGAATGTAAGATTAAAAGTTCTTCAATTTTTTTTTATAATAAAATAATTTTTTGATGCTTTTGATGTCTAAAGTCTGATATGCAAAAAAAAATTGTTTTAAGACAACTTGTAATGAAAAATATAAATTTAGTTCAAAGAGTTTTGTTTTTTTGGAAAAAAAGAATTCCTTTTGTTATTTTTCCCAGTGTTTCTATGGTTATTTTATTCTTGAAAGAGGATTATGAGGTATTTTTGGACTTATATTTTCCAAAGAAGAAGAAAATGGAAAGTGAAAATTAATGTCTCCAAGGAAATGTAAACATAGAAATATGATTAAAGTAAATAACTTTTTTGCCATAATTCATTTGAATTTAAATTGCATTATCTATTTTTACATCTGTCCATGCATCTAGTAAGTGTAATGTCGTGACCATTGTAAGAATCCTTGTCATATCGACCAACAGTCTATACGAAATGAATTGAGAGATCTGTCTCTGAAGGGAATCGAACCCACATCTTCTTAAAAGATGGTTTTAAATATTCAGTTCGTTGTCTAACCACTCGACCACAAAAACCTTACTCTCGCACTGACAGAATCGCCTAATATGGCTCGATCTCATTCTTCTCAGATTCCATAATAAGCTTCTTCAAGACTCAATCCCTATTCAATAGAAATACCTGCCAATCATCAACAAAACTTACTCATCTTTCTACCAGACAAAATTTTAATTAATTCAAAAATTAGTAATCAGCGTTAATACAATAACATGACCTCAGGGCAATCTCATTTCAAAGTAATTTTCCATTCACCAACAATTTCGAACTGCTTCTATAATTATCTAATATTTAATTGATTTTTGAAAGATTTTTTTTTTCACGCAAAATTTAATAGCAATTTAAATCAGGAAATTATTATTTTATCCACAATTAAAATTCTAATAGAATAGTGAAGATGGCACGACTATAAATAAAAACCTCATAATAGATTAATATTGTTTTTAACAAGTTCCGCTGAACTCTGCTTAATATTTTGCGTGTGCTGAGATAAAGCACCATTAATTTTTCCTTTCTACTCTGCCTTGCCATGTGCAATGATTTTATATGTGTTTCATAACTCCATTTTCT